AGAGCTGCTGGGGGAGGCCGGGTCCTCGGAGCACAGCGGGTAGTAGCAGGGGGAGGGCCGGAGCCGCTCGCTGGGCCAGGAGATGCCGGACAGGGTCCTGGGCCCTGGGGTGGGGGAGGGCGCGTGAGGACCCAGCTTCACTCAGTGCCTGGGCTCCAGTGCAGGCTGGAGGGGAGGGCCCGGGGCAGGTTGCTGTGTGTCCCTGGGACCTTCCTTTCCCTCTCTGGACACAGCACAGAAAAACCGTGGGACCCCACTCCCCCTGCTCTGCCCTGAGGGGGACCGAAGGTTGGAGGTGGGGGCACTGCCTAGGACAGGCCAGACCCAGCGCCTCCTGGGAGCGACACCGGGGTGCCACTGGGCCCCACTGCACACAGCTCCGAGGGCCAAGGAGCCTGCTCCAGGCCCGGACCCAGGGTCATGGGCACCTCCCACACCCGCAGGCCCTCGGCTCCCAGGAGCATCGCCAGGGGTCCTGCCTTCTGCACTTCAGCAGAGTCATCGTGTGTGTGTGTGTGTGTGTGTGTGTGTGTGTGTGTGTGTGTGTGTGAAAGTGTTCATTATATTTTCACTGACTTGATGGAAAGGAGTGTGTGTGTGTGAGTGTGTGTGTGAGTGTGTGTGTGAGTGTGTGTGTGTGTGTGTGTGTGTGTGTGTGTGTCCTGTGAGCAACCACCTTTCCGGAGGTGCGGTTCCCAGAGCGAGGCCGCACTTACCCGTTTACCCAGCAGCCACGTGCTGGCCGGGGCTCCTTTGGGGGCAGCCCTCTGCTTCTCTAGATCCACAGCAGGGGTGAGGCTCAGAGGGGACGCGGAGGGACAAAGACAACCCTGACCTTGATGGCCCCTCGCCGTGGAGGCTGCTGCGGTCTCCAGAACTCAAGCCCATGGCCATGGAGCAGAGAGGGGGCTCCAGGGCTGGGCCTGGAGGGGGCCAGCACCCAGCCAGCCGGGTGGGTAGAGCCCGTGCTGCCCTCAGGAGCGGGCGGCGGAGCGCCTACCTGCTGTGCCGGCCGGGCTGGGTGTTGGGGGCGAGGCTCGGGATCTGGAGGTGGACCCCCTCCTCCCTGCGAAGCTGCTGCTGAGCCTGGACTCCAGCTCCGCATACACAGCCGACATCTGCGGACAAGGAGGCGGGAGAGTCCAGCGCCCTCCCTCCTCCACACGACCCTCAGGTGGCCTCACAGACCAGGCCTGGGTGGTCCGAGAAGCAGGGATCTGCCGGGCCAGCGTGGCTCAGTGGTTGAGCGTTGACGTATGAACCAGGAGGTCATGGTTCAATTCCCGGTCAGGGCACATGCCCGGGTTGCGAGCTCGATCCTTGTGCAGGAGGCAGCCAATCCATGATTCTCTCTCATCACTGACATTTCCAACTCTCTCTCCCTCTCCCTTCCTCTCTGAAATCAATAAAAATA